AATCTATTTCAGACATTGCATTATACCTAAATGATTCCGAATCAGCGATGTGAATCAGCATTGAAATGAAAGTCTTAGCGGTACGGTGAGCTGTGAATCGCTGCAACCCAGTGAGCTGAACTTGAGAAATGAGTCCCAATTCGTGAATGAATCATTCAGACCGGTTTTGTCAACCCGACTAACTGAATAATATATGAAACGGGCAGAAGAAATAAAGTCATACAGGTTTGGAATGACATGAGGCTGAGTAAGTGATGACCGTGTTCATTTTTGGCTGAACTGTCCCTTTAATGGTTTCAATCACAGGAAAATTCTGGATGATGAGAAGAGTACGACTGAAAACGCAGACCTGACGAAAGTTGTGCCGGGAACTGGAGCAGAACCCAACGCCCTCACGCAAACAAACGCCACTGAAAGTAAAGCATGAGAGGACAAGTGAAGGAGTAAAGGCGTCGTGGTGACCAGGAACGTGTTTGTTTAACAGTGCCCTTAATGAATTTTCTGAACAAAACGGTGTATCTACAGACAGAAGTTTCACTTACGATGTACTGTATGTATGCATTTTCCTTTTATTTTTGTTGATTTAAGTACATTTCCAGAAGTTTCTGTATCAGAGTTAAACGGTTATCAAATTCATATAATTCAAAGATATTCTTATAGAGGTTCTTGTGTTTCTTTGTACATTTTTTTTTTCTGTCAGACAAATAATTATTATAGCAGGGCATCAAGTTATTCAGGAGAATGGTTGATTCAGTAATACACAAACAATTTATTTACAAAGTACATTGTTAAAATGTAAATGATTTCTCCTATTTTTTTATCATGAGTGTTTGAGGGCTAGGTTCGATTTGTTGTTAGCTTTGTATTTTATTATATTTTATCATTATATTTTATTTACACTTAACTGTTTTGCCTGTTGAATGATAACTCATAATGGAAGTTATGTAAAGACAAAAAAAAATATCGTAAGATATTTTAACATAACGTTATATGACTGAAAGTCTGATAAAGATTTCAAATTAACCATTTGATTTGCTGCCGAAGTCTTTATTAGATCAGTTTTTACAATCATCGTGTGTTTCTAATATTTGGGATTTATACATTAAATCATTCTTCCAACATGCTCCTAAAGTATCAACTTGAACTAAAATATCTGCTCATTTTTATACCTTGTACCTCTGGAGAAATGTTTCACACTGTCACCTGCAAGCTTGTGCACTGTGATTGTGTTATCAAGATCTTTGTCTTTTTTTTCTTCTTCACAAAGCTTTGTGGCAACTGCTGATTGTCCTTTTATAACATGACGGATGTTAACAGTCCTGTATGAAAGTGGACTGATAGGACACGTGACTCTGAGAAGAGTTCTTATAGCATCACTCATTGCATGACTGTCTGATGTTAAACAAGACTGGCCTGAGCTGTACGAGCTCAGTTTATGGCAGTCTGTTGGAGAAATAGTGAAGGTTGTGGTTTGTGGATGTTTTCATGATTTCGATGCTTATAATGTTTTGGACAGAATGGAAGATCATTTTGTTTGCCCATTGTACACAAGTTGTTCAGTTGTTCACTGCCAGTTTGCCCCAAAACTGTAAATCGTTTCAAGTATAAAAGGATTTGACCCATGAAATAGCAGTATAATGGGTGAGCTTTAAAAGTACATGTAAATTGTGTTGTTCTAACACATTTGAATTAAACTCATCAAAACATGAAAGATTCTCTTAGTTTGTTGTGTTCGTTCAGTAGCATAAAAGTAAATATTAACTCTGCATGTTTTTATTTGGTTGATTCGTTAAGATCAACAATCTGGTGTTTTTTTATTTTTTTATATAAATGTCTTCAGATTAATGCTCGCTTTCATTTTAAGCGTTGTAAACAAATGTATTTTTATCCATTTCTACAAATATGGTCATCAGGGTACTCTCCAAAAGACTAATCACAATGGTTATTGTTGCTACAATAAAACTGTGGTTACTTGTTATTGGCCAACACCGTCATCAAAAATGACATTAAAATGGCAAAAATGTTCTGAAGAAAATCTCTGGAGGAGATCCTATGGTGTTACAGTGGTAGTGGAAAATGGGTTACTTGGTAATATTTTTTGAAGTGTCACTCTGGAGTGTGTATAATGTATGCAGTGTATCCTGTTGAAATTCCTTAGACTAGAAGGAGAAAGTACCTACCTATCAATTATTTTACTTGGCCAGCAGGTGGCACTATTTCACAAGCCTCAAATGTTAGTGGACGAGGTCGTTTCCTGACTGCACGTGCTTTCATATAAACATACTTAACACTAACATGTATCGTATTTAATATGCATTAAATGCAACTCATAAATGTTTTGAATACAACTTTTTATTTCAATTTCTCAGTTTTTTTACACATTTTTTTTTTTTTGTCCCATTAACACTTTTACATTCTTGAAAGAAGAAAAGTTGAGTTTGACAAAAACCTGTAGGCTATTTTTTTATTTGATTTCTTTCAGTAAATTAGAAGTTTAACGTTCTGGTGAGCACAAAAGACGATATTCTGAAGAAAGTTGACGATAGCCATTGACTTTTTCTCTGTACTATGGAATTCAGTGGCTAGACTGGCAAGCAACTGTTTGGTCACCAGCATTCTTCAGAATACCTTCTTTTGTCCTCAACAGAGAAAAAGAAACTCGTACAGGTTTGGAACAACTTGAGGCTGAGTAAATGATAACATCATTTTGGTATTTTGTCAATAAATACATAAAAAAAACTAGAACATGAATATAAATATTAGACTACACAGAGAGCAACTTTTTATTACCGCGAACATCCTTATCCTTGACCCACACTGCATTAAAATACAATGCAACTATTTCAGTTTTTGTGCCTTAACTGCTTTTGCAACAACTGAAAACAAGACCCTGTAATGATAAGTGGCAATATAGACAAGGGTTATCTTGTGATAGTGGGTTATCCTTCACTGTTACTGGACGTTTAGGGAATGAAGCAGCAGATAAGACGACTGTGGGGAGATGAGGTAAGGTGTGCGTGGTTTTCTCACTCTTTCTCATTCTCCCCACTTCATTCATGGACAAGCTAAGCTCTTTTAATGCAGTCATGCGCTTTAAAGTTAAACACCCTCCTCTGAGGGAAGTGTAAGTGGACTGCATGCCGGGCTGTATTTCGCTGTAAGTTGCTCTTAATATTTACATTTTCAGTCACGTGTAAATGACCATTAGGAGTTGTGGTTTAATTCCAGTGCTGTTTTCCTCACCGGCTCCATCCTACGAGCACTAATAATCTCAGGCTTCCTGCGCGTGTCGCTGAAAACAGCGAGCCATTGCTTTGACGTCACGGTGATGATGGTGATTGGAATCCGCACGGCGAGTGTAGTGCGCGTGAAGCGGCTCCTGTGGACCTCAGTATGTTGATGCCTTAATAACAAGTGTTCAATTTTACGCGCCAATTGCAGGTAAGTGAAAATAACTTCACCGGTTAAAGCTGAATTGTTCTGCCAGATGCTGAGTCTGGCGGCATAAATGCTTGTTAGTTGGTGAAAGTGCTGCGAGAACGAGTTCGTTTTGCGTTGAGGATGCAACTTGTTTCTTGGCTTTAAAGATACAGCACGCGCCTAAGTGTTCATGGATCCTGCATGCTCATTTATGCTTTCAGAACACGTAGACTTTAAGTGTTATACAAATGATTACGGTTATGAACTGACTGCTGTAATTGTTGCTTAAAACAACTTGTCAATCAGGTGCACTTGTCAAGGCTGCGAATAGACTGTTGCACGGAGGAAACGACTGTCTCAGATCTGTTGCTTATTCTGTCATATTTAGCAAGCGTAATGTTATCGTAAATTGAATATAGTCAAAGATAGAGAGGTCGACACATAGATAGGCTATGTGGTTCCAATAAACTGTAACTCACGGTTTCGGTGTATTTGTGCGATTTGAAGGCTGGAAGATCAGTACCTTTTCAGGTTTGTCATGAAGGACAAGGTGCATCCGTACCTTTTTTTCTTTTTCCCCTTTTTATCCTTGTTCTTAAATGAAGAGCACAGTAGGCTACCAACGGAAGATTTTTAAGAATAACTGATGCCTTTACTGAAATGCAATTCACTCACGCACAAAAAAATAAATAAATACAATTCAATCTTGAGGTTTGACATAAGACCAGTAATAAGATGTTTTTTGTAATATATTTTCACTGTAAATATTAAATGTTAATGACCATAATAGGTTTGACAGATGTTGCTTTATCCATAGTCACACTGTTAATCAGTTATCCATTTTTAATATCAAGGCTAGCATTAAATGGCACCATTTGTTGAGTCCAAAGGAGATTAAGTAGAAAACTGTGAATATGGATTTAAAAACCTGACTAAACCGTTTTATCAGTCTGTTTGTATTAGATATTCACAGGTTAAATTATTGCATATTTCAATGTTATTTTAACAAATGGTTTAGCTTTTTACACAACCATTTCTGCTTCAGTGAGATTTTACAAAATGCTTATAATACAAGTTAAACTATCATTATTAGTTATCATTGTGTCAATGAAAAAAAGAAAAAAAGTGAATCGTTATTACGTTTAACAGTTAAACATAAAAATCTGTATTGGTGTTAGCTGATCTGTACATAACATATAACTGCTTTTAGACAGTTAGTCTTATAATTTTTTTTATAGTGCAGCTGTACCTGTCACAACAGATATGTGATTAAAATGTCACTCCTGGTGTGAGTTTTTATTCTTCTCTGCTGTTGGAATGTTCTTGGCTGTTAATACAAAATTAAAGGTACAATTAAAACAAATTGTTTCTTGCCTGTATCATAGAACTGTATCATAAATGCATGTTCCTCTCAAGCATGTGCCGAATGCCATCGGTTCAGTTTCTCCTGGCAGCTTTCCACTACTATTGCTGCCATTGCGTAACATTAAGTACATGTTGTGACGACTGGCTTGTGCCTCAGCAACAACAACACCCCTTTGACTTTTTCTCAAAGCACTGAGTTAACCTGTTTGAGTGATTATTAACATGACCTGTGTAACAGAGATGAATAAACCGAGAATTGCACATTTGACATAGTGTATTTTGTACTCATTCTTGTTTTTGTGACATGACTGAATTACATTTACAGGAGCACCCAAGGAGAGAAGCAAATCTGTGAGATGGTTCGATAAATGTCGATGTAATGGATTTGACGAAAATGGGTGCGATCCACCTCCAGAACCCCGGCCACCCCACATCGCTCCTGCAGAAGGCCAACCAGATGCGCCTCTCTGGGACATTGTGTGATGTGGTCATCATGGTCGACAGCCAGGAGTTTCATGCCCACAGAACCGTGCTCGCATGTGCTAGTAAGATGTTTGAGATCCTGTTCCTCCGCAACAGCCAACATTACACTCTGGACTTCCTCTCACCAAAGACATTCCAGCAGATTCTGGAGTACGCCTACACCGCCACGCTCCAGGCCAAGCTGGAGGACCTGGACGATCTGCTGTACGCCGCAGAGATTTTAGAGATAGAATACTTGGAGGAGCAATGTCTGAAGATCTTGGAAACCATCCAGGCGTCTGAAGAGAACGACACAGATGTGAACATGAACGAGAACGGCGCAGAGGATGCCGATGACCACAGGATCAAATACCTTAAGAGCGCTTTCATGTCTAAAAAGCATTCCATACAGGATGGCGGCCATCGTCATCGTTTGGCCCTGGTCAGCATGGTCGATAAGAGATCTTCAGAGTCCACCCAACGGGGTCTTTCAACCGTCAGCCCGACTAAAGCAGCTATAGAGGGCCTGATGAGCATGGGACAGTCCGTCCTCCAGGAAAACATGGCCCAGAGTTTCTCAAATAACCTCGGTAACTCATCTCCATTGCTAGATAAAATCAAGACTGAGATGATGCAGGTAGACGAGGACTACCAACATAAAGGCGGCTTCCCCAGGAACGGGGAGGGTGGAGGTGACTCCAGGCAGCACCGGGACACTCCTGGAACCCCGACCAGAGGTAGCGTCATCACCAGCGCTCGCGAGCTCCACTCCGCCGATAGTTCTGCTGATTCCCAAGGAGACAACACTCAAGCGGGTCTGGGCAATATGGCCAGTCTGGCTGATAGACATTTCGCTTCGCTGTGCTCTATCCCGTCCAACCATAAGAGTGAAAGCATGCTGCCCTTGCCTGTGTCCATGGCCTCGTCGTTACATGTGCCATCCTCCCTGGCCATGTCGATGGATTTCAGTGCCTATGGGGGGCTCTTCCATCAGAGCTTGATTCAGAGGGAGTTCTTAAGCAAGCTCGGGGATTTCACAGCGAATGTGAAGCATGAGGTCCAAGCCCAGAAAGAAAGATGTGAGGTGTGTGATATGGCGTTGCCTGATGGTGAAGCTGCTGAACAACACAGGTGAGTGAAATTATTTGAGACTTTCCTTTTGGTTTATGTATATTTATATTTATTTAAGGAATAGAACCCAAAAATGACATTTTTGTCATCATTTATTCACCTGAATGACTTTCTTTCTTTGAACCACAAAAAAAAATAAAATTAGTAGAATGTTCATGCTGCTCTTTTCCACAGGGCTCTTTGCTTACTTTTCTTTTTAGCCTTCCCATTATGAGGTGATTTTTGAATCCTTAAAGTGATTTACAGGGGCATTTTTTATTTATTTTACCTTTGGCATTTTATTTTATTTTATTGAAAGTATGTCATCTTTTATGACATTAAATTCAAAAATGTATATTTATATATATATTTTTTTTTTTCAAAATTTCTAATTAAAACAATAGAATAAGAAGAACAAGTTTAAGATCAAAATGAAATCAGTACTAACAAAATGCATTTGCTCTACAGAGGTAGCACAGAAGAACACAAAAGTGGCATGTATATGTATATTATTTACAGACATGAGGCTCAGAGGTGGCATGAGTGCAATTAAATTCATAAATTCATGTAGAGGTTAATGATTAAAATATAAAATTTTGAGCATTGAAATATTAAATGATTTAAATTACTGAAATTATACTTTAAACATTAAAGGCACAATATGTAAGATTTTTTTTATTAAAATATCCAAAAACCACTAACAGTGTTATATATTTTGCTGACTTGTGTACTTACATTATCCCAAATGTTTCAAAGAATGTTTAAATCCAGATAAATAAGCAATTTTAACTAGTGACACGGACCGTACGTGTGTCGCGCTCGTTCAGCGGCCTCGTTTAGCTTCGGCGGCTTTCAGCCTCACCCTGCTTCATTCTACTACGTTAATAAATCATTAGCTCATCCATGAACATGATTTCTGCCCGAGTCCCGTCGGATTGCATCGGCTGTGGGGATGAAGACGACAACTCCCACGATTCCACACTCAGTCACGGCGTCATCAAACTACGCCTTTGTTTCTTTGTTTGTTTTGAATACACGCCCTCTAGTGGCACATATTGTGCCTTTAAACTAAAACTGTCAATAGGTGGTGGCAAGTCACAGATTTTATCACTGAATCATTCATTCAGTTGATTCGTTCAAATGGCTGATTCATTCAGGAATGAAGCACGTGGCTGTGTTTGGCCCTGTCCTAAATGGAACACTTTCATGTGCACTTGCGGTCTCACAGACTTACAATGGCCACTGCGTGCGTGTGTCCGTTAAGTCCATGAGACCGTAGGGTGTCCCATTTGTCATTTTAGCATTCAGAAAGGTGCTTGTGAGCGCCCCCTTTGCGGCCGTTATGCACCCTCGATCCGCACTTCTGCCGAGCCAGCACTGGTGCGAGCTCCGCAGCAGACCTCTACCCGACAGTCAAAGCGGCATTACGTCACGAAAGTGCGGACTCAGAGGAAGACCGTGAGGGTTTAGGGTGCCATTTGGGACAGGGCCTTTATGAATGGGTAACTGAATCATTGACTCACATGACTCATTGACAGATTTGTTTAAAAATGCACGTTCATTCATAAACGAAAAACAGCTGTGTTTGTTTGGAGATGCACATTATAATCGACTAATCTCTCCCTATACTGCACAGTGAATCTCTTATTTACATCGTGTCTACTTTTTTTGTTATAATGAGAAAATTTGTGCGCTTGCATAACTCAGCACTGAACAAATCTCCAGTGTTTTGAGCAGTGGGTGGATTGACTGGATTCTGATTAACATCGTGTTTAAAGAATCAACAGATATGTCTGTGATACATTACTCAACCCTGCAAAAACACGTTGCAAGTAGAAACCTTTGAAGCTCCCCTGAGCGCCAACACAAATATGCTGATCGGGTCAGTCGCACTGGTGCTCGCACTGTAGAGCCCTGTTCCACAGAATCAAATGATGACAAAAAAAATGATGAAAAGCAAAATAAAAGTAAAATCCATTGAAAATGAACATATTCAAATTCTGTGCATCACAATCAATCACGAGGCACTTAGGAACCAGTGGCGTTTGGTGTCATTGATTAATATATGTATTGAATATGTGTAACTGAGCAAAATTTGGGTCTTTTCCTTGTATAGTTCCAGAAGATTTGAAATATAGTACAGGAATCATCTTGATACAGAATGCATTTTTGCATTGAAAAATGCACAACGCAAGCAATGGAATTAAAAAAACCCCGCAAGATTTCGAAGATACATTGTTTAAAATTTTAACTTGGCATTGGGTTTTTAGAATGCGTGTCATGCCCGAGACACTGAAAAAGATCCAGATGCGAGCACAGTGGTGAAAGTCGTTCATTTAGCGAGTGCGTCTTTGTGTTAAAAAATGTGAGATGCGAGCAGTGAAATGGGAAAAAGTGTAGGGTATTGAAGACAAGTTTTTTAAAAGTGAAAAATGCAGCGCTTTTGAAACGCCATGTCATGTGTGAAACATTGCAAAAGAACTGTAAAAGATGTCCATCTAGCAAAGGTTTACATAAAAAAAATTGTAGTGCAGTGGGATGCAAAAACACTTTCTGTGTGAACAACTGCGTAATGTGAAAGACATATAGTAGAATTATAGTGCTTTTATGTTCTTCACAAAAAAGAGAGTCATATGAGTGTACTGTAAAACAAAATGAGGGTGAATTAATGATGACAGATTTTTTTCCTTTTTGGGTGAACTTTCTCTTTAATGAACTTCCTCAGGCTTATTGAGAGCAGTGCAGAGCAGGTTAGAAACATCTGCCAGCTCTACATACCAAGCCTTGTGGAAGAACAAGATCTTCCTGTGCAGAAAAGAAGGGCTGCTTAGTGCAGCTTGACCCTGACCTTCCCTCCATAACCTCTGGCTCGACACTGTCAAAATGATCGGCCAGGAGCAGCTTTGCTCAGATAGACAGATGGATTAGAAGCACAATTTTTTAAGCTCAAACAACCAATAAATATTCATAAAATCAGGCATGTTTGTGCATTTTTGTTTTCGCACAGAATGTCCTCACACTTTCACTTGGTGAACACCCAACTGGTGTCACACCATATGTCAAAATAATTTTTTTATTGCTGTAGTTGACATATGACATCCATTTTTCGCCAACCAAAGGCCATTATTATTTCAGTTTTATTAGTTTGGGTTTGACTGATGGCCATGCAGTTTAAACTTGGACTCTCAAACAGTAGGTTGAGCTTTATCTGTATTTATGAGAGTGGAAGATAACCCCACACTGCTCTCCTTAGTCTCTGTGGTAAAGATGGTCTGATAGTGACTTTAGCCTTCTGTCAGACACAGATAAAGAGGCCACACGTTGTGTATATTGCAGCACACCTGATACTCTTTCATTCATTCCCACAAATGCTGAACCCAGTGACACCGACCCGGGTTTCCTGTCTGAGTCCTGATATACACATACTATCAGGTGTTCTCCGTTCCAGTGTGGCGCTAAAACACATAATGCTTATTTTTTTGGTCTGATCTAATAATGACATAATGTACATTCAGGTGCATCTCAATAAATTAGAATGTCATGGAAAAGTTCATTTATTTCAGTAATTCAACTAAAATTGTGAAACTCGTGTATTAAATAAATTCAATGCACACAGACTGAAGTAGTTTAAGTCTTTGGTTCTTTTAATTGTGATGATTTTGGCTCACATTTAACAAAAACCCACCAATTCACTATCTCAACAAATTAGAATACTTCATAAGACCAATAAAAAAAACATTTTTAGTGAATTGTTGGCCTTCTGGAAAGTATGTTCATTTACTGTACATGTACTCAATACTTGGTAGGGGCTCCTTTTGCTTTAATTACTGCCTCAATTCGGCGTGGCATGGAGGTGATCAGTTTGTGGCACTGCTGAGGTGGTATGGAAGCCCAGGTTTCTTTGACAGTGGCCTTCAGCTCATCTGCATTTTTTTGGTCTCTTGTTTCTCATTTTCCTCTTGACAATACCCCATAGATTCTCTATGGGGTTTAGGTCTGGTGAGTTTGCTGGCCAGTCAAGCACACCAACACCATGGTCATTTAACCAACTTTTGGTGCTTTTGGCAGTGTGGGCAGGTGCCAAATCCTGCTGGAAAATGAAATCAGTATCTTCTCCGAAATTTCTTGGTAAACGGTTGCAGTGACGTTGGTTTTCAAAAAACACAATGGACCAACACCAGCAGATGGCATTGCACCCCCAAATCATCACAGACTGTGGAAACTTAACACTGGACTTCAAGCAACTTGGGTTATGAGCTTCTCCACCCTTCCTCCAGACTCTAGGACCTTGGTTTCCAAATGAAATACAAAACTTTGAACTCTGAAAAGAGGACTTTGGACCACTCCTTAGCCCAGGTAAGACGCCTCTGACGATGTCTGTGGTTCAGGAGTGGCTTAACAAGAGGAATTCGACAACTGTAGCCAAATTCCTTGACACGTCTGTGTGTGGTGGCTCTTGATGCCTTGACCCCAGCCTCAGTCCATTCCTTGTGAAGTTCACTCAAATTTTTGAATCGATTTTGCTTGACAATCCTCGTAAGGCTGTGGTTCTCTCGGTTGGTTGTGCATCTTTTTCTTCCACACTTTTTCCTTCCACTCAATTTTCTGTTAACATGCTTGGATACAGCACTCTGTGAACAACCAGCTTCTTTGGCAATGAATGTTTGTGGCTTACCCTCCTTGTGAAGGGTGTCAATGATTATATTCTGGACAACTGTCAGATCAGCAGTCTTCCCCATGATTGTGTAGCCTAGTGAACCAAACTGAGAGACCATTTTGAAGGCTCAGGAAACCTTTGCAGGTGTTTTGAGTTGATTAGCTGATTGGCATGTCACCATATTCTAATTTGTTGAGATAGTGAATTGGTGGGTTTTTGTTAAATGCGAGCCAAAATCATCACAATTAAAAGAACCAAAGACTTAAACTACTTCAGTCTGTGTGCATTGAATTTATTTAATACACAAGTTTCACAATTTGAGTTAAATTACTGAAATGAACTTTTCCACGACATTCTAATTTAT